CTTCTTTAAATAATCAATTGCCTTTTGGAGTTCTATAGGAGTTCCAATAAGGTTTATGTCATCAACATATACGGCAAGTACAACAAATTCCGATGTTGTTTTCTTATAAAAACACATGGGCAAATGGAATCATTTATATAGCTTTCTTTTAATAAATACTCACTAAGACGATTATACCACATTCGTTCTGATTGCTTTAGACCATACAAAGATCTTTGTAATTTGATTGAAAACATTTCCCGGGACTTTGAATTATGTGCGTTTGGCATTTTAAATCCATCGGAAATTTTCATGTATATCTCATTATCAAGTGAGCCATAAAGGTAGGCGGTAACCACATCCATTAAATGCATGTCAAGCTTTTCATGGACATCAAAACTAATGAGATAACAGAAAGTTATAGCATCCATAACGGGTGAATATGTCTCCTCATAATCGATACCAGGCCTTTGTGAAAATCCTTGTGCAACAAGGCGTGCCTTATATCTTTGTACCTCGTTTTTCTCATTTCTCTTGCGTACAAAGACCCATTTATAGCCAACAGGCTTAACACCATTAGGTGTTTGGACTACAGGCCCAAAAACTTCACATTTTGCAAGTGAATTCAACTCTGATTGGATTGCTTCTTGCCATTTTGGCCAATCAAGTCTTTGTCGACATTCTCCAATAGATTGAGGTTGAAGATCCTCACTTTCTTGTGTAATGCTAGATGCAACATTATATGCAAAGACATAATCCACCACAATATCCACTAGATTCAAATTTGTCTCAATATCGATTGGATTTATTGATAGTTCCTTATTTTCTTGAACCTCGGGCTCAGTGGATTCCTCATGAATCTCAAAATTTATTAAATCATGGATTTCTTCATGAGATTCTTTTGTAGTGTCATTGATCATTTGTTTTCCTTTTTCTAGGATTTCGATCTTTTGAACCTAATGGTCTGCCACGTTTTAGGTGTGCTTTTGACTCATTTGCTATGACACTAGAAGATTGTCCAATAGGGACATCAATACGGATTGGAACATTCTCTTCAGGGATATGTGATTTTGTTATCCTTTTCAAATCCGTAAATGCGTCTGGCATTTGATTTGTTATTCTCTGCAAATGGATAATCTTTTGCACCTCTTTTTCACAAATAGAGGCACGTGGATCAAGATGAGATAATGATAGATTTTTCCACAAAATTTCCCGTTTGGTTTCACCAACTTCTCCCCCTAATTTTGGGAAAAGTGTCTCATCGAATCGACAGTCTGCAAATCGTGCAGTAAACAAATTCCCCGTCAATGTTTTGAGGTAGCGAATAATGGAGGGCGATTCAAACCCAACATATATTCCTAACCTTCTTTGCGGACCCATTTTGGTGCGATATGGCGGCGCTACATGCACATATACTGCGCATCCAAAAATTCTTAAATGGAATATATTAGGTTCATGACCCAAAACTAATTGCAACGGGGAATATTTATGATAACTTGTCGGTCTGAGATGAACTAGCATTGTTGCATGCAAAATGGTGTGACCCCAAACAGAAGTGGGTAGCCTCGTTTTCATGAGTAACGATCTTGCTATCAATTGTAGACGTTTAATTAAAGACTCTGCAAGATCATTTTGAGTGTGAACATGAGCTACAAGATGTTTCACTTTTATCCCAATTAATAAGCAATAATCATTAAATGCTTGGGATGAAAACTCAGCAGCATTATCAAGTCTAATAGACTTAATTGGATTATCGGGAAATTGTTCCCGTAATCGAATTATTTGTGCCGTTAATTTTGCAAACGCGAGGTTGCGAGATGACAATAAGCACACATGGGACCATCTAGAAGATGCGTCTATTAAGACCATAAAATATCTAAACGACCCACTAGGTGGGTGAATAGGTCCACAAATGTCCCCTTGTATACGTTCCAAAAACGCAGGGAACTCAATTCCAACCTTTGTTGGTGATGGTCTAATAATTAACTTGCCTTGATAACAAGAAGTGCAAGAAAATTCATTATCTAAAAGAATCTTTAGATTCTTTAATGAATGCCCATTTGAGTTTTCTATAATTCGTCTCATCATAATTGATCCAGGATGTCCCAATCGATCATGCCAAAGTACACAAGTATTTGAATCAGTAACCTTTTGGTTTACGGTAGAATGTGCCTCAATTGCACTAATTCTTGTCCAATACAGGCCACAAGATAAAGATGGGAACTTCTCAATAACCCTCTTTTGGCCAGAGACATTCTTGGTAATGATGAGATATTCAAGATTATTCTCATCTATTATCTCAATATGATATCCATTTCGACGGATATCTTTAAAACTCAACAAGTTCCTATTAGACTTGGAGGAGAACATTGCATTCTCTATGATAAATATTGTTCCCTTAGGCAGAGTTATAGTAGCTCTTTCAGAGCCTTCAATTAAATTACTACTACTAGAAATTGTAGTAATATCTGCCTTGCACATACTTAAATGAGAGAAATATTTCTTCTCTTTGAATACTGTATGTGTCGTACATGAATCAATTAAACAAATATTTTTACAATTGAACTTTGATCCAAGTTTGTTTTGTGGGATATCCATATTTGCTTCCCATGGTTTGACATACAAAAGAAATATACGAATAAATATTGGTCTAAAAGGGAAATTCAGAAAAAATATAAAGAAGAAAATGTATTTATATGAAAGAATGCAAACAAATACAAAATAATGGTATTACACACACAACCGAGATTTAATACACATAACATCTAGGCCACATGCAAATTTTAACAAGACATCAATTTTATTTTAATTTATTAGGAGTAATAATACAATTATAAGTGCTATAGTTTGATTTTCGTGTTTGGTTATTAACACTACGAGAAAGCCTTTTAACAAGATTATCACATGCTATTACTGATTTTTCACTTGTTAGCACTATTAAACAGTGAAATCATAATATGCTTTTTCATGTACTACTCTAAGGTTGCGTTATCTGCCTGATGTATGCACACTGGTAAAGAAAAATATTGTTACAGTTATGATGAATTTTCATTATAATAGTATAATGTGTAAAGGCAATAATTGCACACTAAGTTCGTAATATAGTACAAAATAGATACATATGTTTTTGACATATTATACTCAACATACACTTTAGTATTAGAAACACTTGGTAAGAATTTATGTACAGAGACTGTTAAATACTAAAACAATATGCCACATTTGAATTCTTACCACATGCATGTGTATGAAAATAATTATGATATGGTCAAAGGCTGAAATATTGTTTAAAACGAATACTAGAACGAACTAACACTAATTCATAAAATAATACTAATTGATACTAATGACTACTACTCATGTAAAGAACTATGATTACATGATATTTATTCACTAGTTACTACGAATAAGCAAAAATAAAAATCAAACTACTCAATCATCTTTAACCACGGATCCATCACCGATCAAGTGGTCTATTTTTCCATCAGGGTGCTCAAAGAAGTTTGCCACATCCAAGTGGGTGATGTCAAATTCATTGTCATAGACAAAATTAGCTTTAGGGCCTTTATTCTTTAGAGATGCTTGATAAAGCTCAACCAAATGTCTTGATACACGACAAATATTTGCCCAATGCCCTTTTCCACCGCAACGATAACATTCAGTTTCTGAACCATCTGCCTTTGACCTCTCATCTTTCCCTTTCCATTTTTGGTGGTTATTTTTCTTTGGGGGTGATTAACACCAGGAAAATTTCTTCTTTGTCCACGGCCACGGCCATGACCACGACCACGAATAGAGCCACGGCCTTTTCCACGCTTAGCATAATGAGAATACACCTCATCCACTTCAGGCAATGGTGTAGACCCAGTGGGTCAATTTTCGTGATTTCTCATGAGCAAGTCATTGTTTCGCTCAGCCAAAAGGAGAAGAGAAATCAGCTCAGAGTACTTCTTGAAACCTTTCTCTCTGTACTGCTGTTGCAGAACCATATTGGAGGCATGAAACGTTGTAAACGTTTTTTCAAGCATATCATAATCAGTGATAGTATCTCCACAGAGTTTCAATTTAGAAGTAATTCTGAACATCACAAAATTATATTCAGAAATAGACTTAAAGTCTTGGAGCCTAAGATGAGCCCAATCATATCGTGCTTGTGGAAGAGTGACCAACTTTAAGTTGTCATATTTTTCCTTTAAGCCATTCCACAAAACAAGTGGATCTTTGACTGTGAGATATTCTATTTTCAACCCTTCATCAAGGTGATGGCGCAAGAAAATCAAGGCCTTAGCACAGTCTTGGGTGGATGCTTTAGTTTTGTCTTTAGTGGTGTCTCCAAGACCCATTGCATCTAAATGTATTTTAGCATCCAACACCCATGTCATATAGTTCTTGCCCGAAATTTCAAGGGCAACGAACTTTCTTTTCATAATGTTAGTCATAATTAAAAAGAGGAAAAAAATTGTACCTTAATCTTCTCAAACGCTTCTTGAGACGGTAGAGTCTCGTGCTGATAACGTGTTATGAAACAATAAAAGTAGAAGAACAATATTGCAGAGAAAGAGAGAGGAAATTCTTATTGAATTTTGGGATGATTTACAATGGGGTAAGACCCCTATATTTATAGGGGGAAAATGACTTAGCCACAAAGTAAAAAACCCTAGAATCTCTCTAAATATGTACATTCACTGTAAATAGAATTTTATTTATAATAGATAATTATATGATTCGTTAATTTTTGGAAAGAAAAGAATTAGTAGAAATTTGCAACAAAGACTAGCAAAACCAATGATAATCGGATAACATGTGAATTTTGGTGGAACGCGACACGTTATTACCACGCCTAAGGAACCGGAGAAAAGGATTTTTTTAAGAAAAAAAAAAAAAAAAAAATCTAACGCGCTGAAGAGTTGCTTAAGTTTTACGCCGCAGATTTAACAAACTATTGAATGCTGCAAATCATCTTCTCAATTCAAACATTAGAAAAACGAAAAATGGAGGTAGAAGAAAATCCTCAATTGCAAACGCAACCTGAGTCATCGCCAATGGAAGTTGAACAGATAGATCGGAGGCCGGCGGCTCTCGGAGACCTCCGAATTCTTCCCGACGAAGTTTTGTGCGCTATACTGACTTTTCTCACTCCTCACGATGTCGCTCGCCTTTCCTGTGTTAGCAGGTTTTTTCAATTCCTTTACTGTTTTTTCTGCAAAAAACTTAGTTTTGTGTATTTTTGATGTTTTTGAATGTGGAATTTGTGATCATATTGTTTGTAAATACGATGATTCGCAATGACTTTTGGTTTGGAGCTCAATTTCTGCTTATCATATGTAAATAGGAATGACGGTTCAGTTTCGAGTTTAATTAAGCTTTAGTTTCAATTGCATCATCGCATGATTCATTGCTTCTTCTGACCTATAGGTGTTCAATTTTTATTTGATCTCTATGAATTAGTAGAATGTGGATCTTGTGTCCGTTTCTTTCTTCTCATTTTCAGTTATTATTGGTCTATGGCAGATAGACGCAGATAGTTTGCTTATTCTGGCCGGGTGATCAAGTTGTTGGTGTGCCTGTGAGCATGTTGATTGGAATCTGATTAAATACTTAGAATATCTGCTTAAGATAGTATGGATGATAGTGACAAAGTTACTGCCTTTATTGATTGTGCCCCTATGCCCAGTGGCGGAGGCAAAATCTCCACGAAGGGGGACCCATGACCTTATGTAGATTTTGAACCCCTTTGACCACTAAACTACACTTTTGGATTGTGTTAAGGTGGTTCAAAACTTAATATATAGAGGTAAAAACAGATTTTGCCTTATATATACAGTGTTTTTTCGGCGAACCCCCTTGCGCCCCCCCTAAATCCGCTCCTGCCTATGCCTATTAATCACTCGTAGAGTCAGTAGAGCCGAGCTTATTGATTGGACATGATTTCTTGAGATACAACTCCTTATTCGTAGTGCTTTCAGTGCCTTCATTTTCTGATGTAAGCTTAAGGAAAAACTCACTGCCACTTTATCCCGTACATTTCTCAAATACTTACCATTTTGCAGTGTGATGTATATTCTATGCAATGAGGAGCCCCTATGGATGAGCATATGCCTTGATATTGCTAATCGTCAGCTTCAATATAAAGGCTCCTGGAAAAGAACAGCCCTGGACCAGTATGGATATTGATAGGATTTTCCTCTGCAGTGTAGTTAGCCTTCATATATTCTGTTTTCTGACAGTTCATTGTATTTTCCCTTTGGATGTAGATTGAATGTGACTTTTGAAAACAATGAATCCTGCCGGAAGCCGCTACACTTTGACGGTAATATATATATGTATGCATATATTTCTATTGGTTTCTTGGATTTTCTACACAATGTACTAATGGGAGCTCAACTTGTGCAGGATTCAATTCTTTGTTCCTGTATCGTAGATTATACCGGTGCTATACATCATTGAATGGATTTTATTATGATACCGGAAACGTGGAAAGAGCGAAGAACCTTTCTATAGAAGAGTTTCATGATAAGTATGATGGACAGAAACCGGTATGGTGTTCGCTACCTAAAATCGTTTAACTCACATGGCGTGGTTGTCAGATTGTTGGTAATTTGTTGGATTATCTTTGTATCCACTACTTATATTGCATACAACTTGTGGTAAAGTTATGTTTTAGCTTGCATCATTTCATGCAATTTTACCTCCTTTCCGTTGAACATACTGCCTTTCTCAAATTATATGTCATATTTTCTGTTATTTAAGTTATCCCACAATTGTGTCTACTTTGCTTAAAGGGACACCTTTACTCTATTACCTTTAACAGATATCCTACTATCAAAAATTACTGTAGTTGCAACTTGAAATCAGTCTAAAATGTTCAAGTTCTTGCGAAGTTAGTTTTCTGTCACTTTTGGACCCACTTCTACTCAACTATTCTGGCATTTCAAGTGTTCCTTACTAGTTGTTCCCAAGTCAAAGTAGGGCACTTGAATAGATGAAGGGAGAGCTTATTGTCTTGTAATAATTAGTTTTACACGTGCATATCAGAAAACAAATTGTTTAGTGATTCTTCGTTGCCTCTTCTTCTTCTTCTTCTTGTGTTTTCCCGTCTCCATTACAATATTTTTTGCCTTTCATTTCCCTCCTTTTCTTTCTTATATATACACTGAATTCATCGTATTATACAGAGGATTCATATGGCTAGACTCCAACTAGTATAGTTGATTGATGATATAGACTGGCCCTTTCTGTTTAAATCTAGCTGGTTGCATTTTCTATCATATGACCTATGTTGTTCATATGTATTCTTAAAAGGGGGCAAAAGGCATGGGTTTAATTAGTCTGAAACTTTTTAGTGCTGACAACTTATGTGCATGGTTTTCTTGATTGACAGCTTATGAGAGTATAGATTATCTTCTTCACCAAGCTTATTACTTACACTATAACAGGTACTAATTGCTGGATTGGCTGACACTTGGCCTGCAAGCACTACATGGACTACGGAGGAGCTTTTGAAGAAATATGAAGATACAGCATTTAAATTATCTCAAAGAAGTCGTCACAAGATTAAGATGAAACTTAAGGACTATGTGTCTTACATCAAACTTCAGCATGACGAGGATCCTCTTTACATTTTCGATGAGAAGGTTCCTTTACACTCCTGCTATTCTCTCTGTGCAGTTTCTCCCGTGACAAATTGTTCTAATTTGAATTTTGTTCTCTCAGTTTGGGGAAACTGCACCAGAATTGTTGAAGGATTACAGTGTTCCAAATATATTCAAAGAAGACTTCTTTGATGTGCTGGACAGGGATCAACGACCTCCTTTCAGGTGGCTCATTATGGGACCGGAGAGGTCTGGTGCCTCTTGGCATGTTGATCCTGCCCTAACTAGTGCGTGGAATACACTTTTATGTGGTCGTAAAAGGTATATTATTGAGAACCAGTCTATCTCTTTCCCAGTCATCTTGTCTCAGGGTCTTGCTGAATACTTCAGTTAGTGCATGTGTTCTTTAATAATTCCTGACCAATCAAACTCGTACTCACTATTGCAACAACAACAATCTAGTATAATCCCACTAGTGGGGTATGGGGAGAGTAGTGTGCACGCAGACCTTACCCCTACCCTGGGGTAGAGAGGCTGTTTTCAAATAGACCCTCGGCATCCTTCCCTCCAAGAACTCCCCACCTTGCTCTTGGGGTGACTTGAACTCATAACCTCTTGGTTGGAAGTGGAGGTTGCTTACCATCAGAGCAACCCCTCTTGTCTCTCGTACTCACTATTGCCTACTTAGTTAATAATCTCCCTTACCAATCAATGAAGTTAAAGCAGAACGCATTGGAGATAATGCTGGTTTGCTCAGTTGTGGATAGAGATAATGGGGTTGGTCAGAAAACAGCCCTAGTGTTGAAGAAAAAGAAGTCATAGATGGAATGCTGAGGCTTAAGTAGGAATGTTATTTAGAGAGTTTATACTTCTGAACGAGTTTTTTTAAGCTCTCTCTGCCCTTCTGTCCTATAGGCATATCATACTTGCTTTTCATGGTAGGTTCGTTAGTGTATATCTACAAAGAGGCTAGCTTTGCTGAAAATTTGAGTTCGGTCAGTCTTTCACTTTTTTCCTTGAAGTTATTTCATGAAAAGTGCGCTTCGAAAATAGCCAAATTCATATATTCTTAAAAGTGTAAACAAAGGAAAAAAGAGTTTGACTCAATGAATATCTTCCCATAGTTTTCCTGGATAGGCATTATGTTTACCGTGAAAATGGTAACAACAATTAAATTTGTAAATGAGACTCTAAAAATATGTGATCTATTTTTATGGTAGTTGTTAGAGCAGTAAATGCTAAGAGTATGGGGTTTAATGAAGAAATACGAGCTAAAGCGGGACAGTAATCAAACCGAGAGGCTTGCAGCCCAAGCCTCGAACTGGTCGATGAAGGACCTCGAGGGTCGATATCTGGCTCGAGCTCGAGCTATCGGGGGTAGTCGGGAATGGGATAACAGTTGAGATATGATCAAGCAAGGCTCTTTATGGCCAATACCGAACAATAAATGAAGAACAAGTATAAAAGCTATAAACGTTAAGAGTGGCCTCGAGCTATTAAGAACGAGCAGGTTAGAGAGAAGAGAGAGATATTATTGATCTTGTGGAGAATAGTTGGAGCAACATCAGCCCCTTACAAAGTGGCATGGATTCCCTTTATATAGGAGAGGGAATACGATATAGTACAGAGACCCTGCTCATGCTGGCTGCTTGCCTCGGGAATTCCCCATCCTCGGAACCTCTGTTGGGTCGCGGGCGAACCTCGGGGGAGGGAGCTTGATCATAGTCCTGCAGCCTCGAGATACTGATATGACCACCCGAATGCATCTTAATGGCGGGAAATAGACTCCGATTTCACCTTATACAAATAGTCTCCGCATTTCCAAGAATGAAGTAATAGGAAACGATTTTGAACCGTCGTCTCGAGGTCATCATTGCCGTGACGTCAACCGTTTAAGAGCATTAAATGCCATGTTCCAGAGAACTGTGCAAGGTCGCCATCAGATGCGGTAATCGAGAAACCCACGAACTGCCATTGGCTCGTCCCTTCCGCTTCCCCAGCTGTTCCTATAAATGCATCGGTTGCGTAACACTTTCCACTTTCACCCCACTTCCAAGCTCACGAGTCAGAATTTTTGTATTTGACACCCCTTTATCTTTTCATAGAAGGATTTTTACCATTGACATGGCTAGGACCTCTAGGACGGTTCCCCGAGTGAACGACGCTGCATCATCATCCCGATCGCCTAAGGAAGAAACCAGAGCGGTTCCCTTCTTGGAACAATGTACCCCACCTGATCTCGATGTGTCAGAGGATTTTAATGTCGATGCCACTTCATCTACGTCGGGCCGATGCGTCCCGATATTAGCAAGGTGTCCCGATACGTTAGCGTCGTGACCGATATTAGCAAGGTGAAGAGGGTCTGCTGAACGAGGCAGTGGAGGTTCAGATTCCCGGTCCCGACGATAATATAACTGACTTTAAGGCTAGCTTCCTTCACGTGTACACCTACCCATTCACCCTGGGACCTGATAAATCTGTCGAGTCCCCTCCCTTGGAGATAGACCCGGTTATCCTTGATTTCTGCGACCGATACCAAGTGATGCTTGGTCAGATCTATCCTTTTTTTGGAGGATAGTGTTGATGCTTCGTTATTTCACCGAAGAGGTTGAGGGTGAGATCTTTACCCTCAATCATCTGGTCAGTATGTACAGTCCTCGATTGTATCGAGGCTTAATCAGGCTCTGCCATCGGTCCAAAAAATCTTTTTTCACGAGCGTCAACGAGGGAAAGGATCGAGGATGGATGAGCAGGTTTATCCGAGTAAGGACCTCGGATATCATCCCGGCCCAGAGGATGCCCTTTCCAAAGAGGTGGAATACCCGACGTAAGCAATTTTCCCCTTAGCTGCTTTTCAACTATTCTTCCTTTTGAAATAATAATCTCTTTGTGCTCCCTGCAGCCGCCGCTTGGCGCTCGGAGGTGGTCCCAGATTTGTCGGGATGGATCAGGAGGTTGAACGAGAAGTTCCCATATCGCGTTCGGTCTTGGACCGGCCTGGCTAAGAATCGTTGGGTGGCCAAGAATCATGTTGAGGTTTCTTTACCGCCTATGCTTCGTATTTTGTGTTTCTTTTTGAGCCCTTAGCAAAAGCGTATTGCGGTTACTGTGCTGGTGCAGGTCTTGGCGAGAATATGCTGATGAGGCCACCCCCTGGTGGCGAAGCAGGGGCCTTGGAGCTCGATACGAGCAAGAAGAGAAAAAGTAGGGCAGCTGTTGTCCGTCCTGCGACAAAGAAAACCAGGTCACTCGAGCACCGAGCCACTGTCGGGACTGCTGCTTCAACCTCAAAGTCAAATCCTGATACCGAAGGAGAGGATGATGATGGAAGCCCGCTAAGGAGGAGAACGAGGTCGAGTGCGAGAGACTTGCAGGCGCCTCGGTCGGAGGCTACTGAGTCCGGAACGGCTGGCTCCGGTTGGGCTCGTGGGCTGGGGGTCCTTGAAGAGGATGCTGATGTAGCTTCGAATCGCGCAGCCGGATTTGATGCAGTTTCCGCCAGGGGGACTGCTGGCGTTGATCCTGAAGGGTCGAGGCTCGAAGCCTTCCAGGAACGTGGGTTGCCATTTGGAGAAATTGGTGACCTGAACGACTTTATGTCGAGCTTTCCGGTCTCGTCAGGGGAACTGCGGGATGCCCACGGGATGATCGGCGCCACAGCGGGGACTCCTCTCAAAGGGGGAGACTTTATTGCTACCATCTTTGATGGTGCTATTGATAGAGCTGATCTCGATATTCCTGGAGCCGTCAAAGCGGCGGGGAAGTTCATGCAGCAGGTGATAGCCATTTCTCGTGCATTTCTTTCGTCCTCGAGCATCATTCTTCGTCTTTCTAACTTTTCCGCTATGTCGCAGTGTAAGGAGATGTACGATCATGCCATCCTCCGACTCCGCGGGGAGCTTTCTTATCAGGAGAAAGAGTGTAAGAAGGTTACCTCGAAGCTGCATGATTCGGAGGCTCGCTCTGCCCGGGGAGATAAAGAGTTGGGAGAACTTCGGGCCGCTTTGGGAACGGCTCTCCGAGAGAAGGCCGATCTTGCTGCTCAGGTACTTTGCCTTGCTCGTACCCGACTTTTATCCCGTATTCACATACATTCCGTATCCATATATTCATTGTCTTACCCTTCTCACGTAGGTCGAGCATAGTGGCTCACAGATTAATTAATTGAATGCAGAGATCTCCGGGTTGAGAGAGCGAAATGAAATAGCGGCCGGGGAGTTGGCAACATCCCGGGATCTTCTCAAGGGTGCTCGCAGAGAGATTGCTGCTTTGGCCGCGGCTAAGTCCGAGGTCGAGCAAAATGCTGTTACTTATCAGGAGGACGCTGCCACGGCGCATAGGGTAGCTCGTGACATATCCGTAGCAGCTGAGCAAAAACTGACCCGGGCTATTGAGCATGCTAAGGCGGAGGCGAGGAGAGAGACCCTGGAGGAACTCGGGGCCAGAGGTATCAACCTGTCAACTGACCTTAAGGAGGCCCGTGCAGTGGAGGAAAAACTGGCGCTTTTGATTTCCCCTGATAAGGGTGAAGATGATAGTGACGAGGAGTAGTCTCCGAGTCATTTGTGCATACCTTCCCCATCCCTATGTATGTGGCCCTCCGGGGAATGTACAATGTAAAGATGTTTTTCTTTTTGACAATGTAGAAAAGGAGTTTTCATTCTGTCAGCCCTTCTCCTTGCCCCTTTGCTTTTGCGTTTTTGCTTGTGCCTCTCGGTGCCGGCCTTTCGGGGCCTACTTTCGGATCAACCGGGACCCTGAAACTGGCCATACCCCGGGGTTAAATCGACAACTCCTCTCGAACCAATGTTTGTGACGTCGCCGAGGTCCCGTAGTTTTCTGAGTCACATGGGAGCCGGAGTGACTCCGCTAGTATGTTCCCCTAGGAGAGGGTGACTTTAACGCGGCCAAAATTAATTGGCCTTCTTGGGTAAGCGGGCAGTTGTTTCTTTGCCCCTATATATTTGTTCATCTGTCTCTTAAGCGGCGAATTTGCTGTTCTTGATAAGGCTATCTATTCTGCAGAGCCTGACACTTTTTGCTAGCCCTTCCGTTTCCTTGTTTCAGGAATTTTTTTTGCTCGGATCCTTGCTTTCCCCCCTAATCTGTCGTAGCCATGGCCGCTGCTTCGACGTCTGATCATCGGGTGCAGGGGAGTCTCTCCTGCGTTCCACATTCGGTCGGTGCCAGCGGCTCGCCTCCGATGTCGAGAGAGCGAGGCTCGGGGTGCTCCGCCTTGAGGAGGGCTGTCACGCCGGGGAAGCCTCCCAATGTTCTGGGCCATCGAGAGCATGTGTCCAGGATCATTTCATCAATGAGGGAGGAAAACCTCAAGGTGATCAGAAAAGATTGAGGATGGGCGGAAGACGCGATTTTGCAAGTACATTCCCTCGAGGAGAGTGCCATGACATATGTTGAGGAATTTTTGAGTGTATACACTCATGTTTTCGCGTCGGGTTCCCCGGACCGGGTCGTACTTGATTTTTGACGAAGATATCAAGTAACGTTGGCGCAGGTTCATCCCTCTCTTTGGAGAACAGTGCAGGCGACGAGATATTTTGCCGACAAGGCCGGGATAGAATTTACCCTCAGCCACCTCGTGAGGTTGTATCGGCCATTGTGCTACCGGGGCCTGATTGCTCTTCAGCGTCGATCCACCCGAGCTCCTGCGATTGGCAGCGAGGAGGATGTGGACTGTGGATGGATGAATCGGTTCGTTCGGATCCGAACGACCGATGTTATCCCTGGAGAATTTTTGTCGTTTCCTGAGAAATGGAACTTCACACGTAAGTGCTTCATATGAGCTGTCTTCGTTTCAACCTGAGGCTGGCTCCATAACAATATCTTTTTGTTCTTTATTTGTAGCAACTCATTGGTCGCCCGGCGAGGTCCCTGATTTAGCCGAGTGGTATCGTAAGCTGGCAGCTTGCTCGATTTATGACAGGCGCCGGTGGCGAGATCTCTCAAAAAGGAGATGGGAGGCGAAGCATTATGGTAGGTGCCCGACGCTCTGCCTCCTAAGAAATGGCGTCTTTCCTGCCAGTTTATTTGATTTATCTGTCGCAGGTGCCGAGAGTCCTTTCGAGGCGGGACCATGTTCCCCGGGGGAGGAGGAGAGGTTGCTGGCTTTGGGATGAAGGAGTGCCAATAAAAGGAAAGGTGTTTCGGGGTGCAAAAAGGCTTGTAGTGAGGCGACTTCTTCGCAACGGTTAAGGAGAAGTGATTCGGTCGATCGGCAAACTTCCGGGAGTGGCGCGTTATCAGACGTTGCTTCGACCTTCGGCGAGGCTCAGCGTTTTGGCCTTTTGGTAAGTTTCGACTGCCGTAAAAATGTTCCGGCCCTGCGCTCTTCCTCTTTTTCTTTACCTGGCTTTCTTTCATAGGCCTTTGACAGGCTTAAAGCCGAGCTGCTTCGTTGCGAGGCCCCGTTGTGGGAGGCTCTGGATAGGGAGAAATCCCTCAAGCTTCTTTGTGTGGCAAAGGAAAGCGAGCTCGTCTCTTTACGGCGTGAGATGGACTGGAGCCGGGCTCGGGAGGTCCTCCTAAAGAAACAGGTACCCTGTATTTCATGTTGTGCTCCCTTTCTATCTTGGCGTCTTGATGTTTTGCTATTTCAGTTGAAGGACAAGGCGGATGAGCTGGGACAACTCTGGGGCGAGGTTGGCCGAGTCAAACGCGAATTCACCGAGCTGCAGGCGCATGTGAGTGCCTATTTTGTGGCCAAAGAGAGGGCTCAGGCCGGGGCTTTTGCTCTTGAGGCGCAAATCCAGACCGTCCGTGTGAATGATTCTGCTCGGGCGAAGATGATCGCAAGGCTTTCATCCGAGCTTTTGAGGGCGAAAACCGAGGTGGTGAATGTCCGGGCCGAGGTTGTGATGAGCAATACCAGGGCGGGACAGAAAGTGGCGGCCTATTCAAGGAGCGCTGCCGTTGCTAAAGCTGAGCTGAAGAGGGCCCTCGATCGTGCAAGCAATAGCAAGGAATATGTGAGGTGCAGATCTCGGACGGAAATCCTCGAGGAGATTTATGCTAGGGGCTTCGATCACTCGTGGGAAATCGAGCAAGCCAAAGTTCCTTCTGTCCGATGCTGAGGACGGTGGTGAGGACGCTGAGCTGAAGAGGGCCCTTGATCGTGCAAGCAATGGCAAGGAATATGTGAGGTGCAGATCTCGGAGGGAAATCCTCGAGGAGATTCATGCCAGGGGCTTCGATCACTTGGGGGAAATCGAGCAAGCCAAAGGAGAGGAGTACGATGCCAAGTTCCTTCTGTCCGATGCTGAGGACGGTGAGGAGGAGGCCACCGGGCCATAGTTGTCGAAAGGGGGAACGTCTATTCCCTGCTTTCCTCTTTGTGTGTATAGCTTTCATAATATGTCGTAGGCTGAGATTGTGCTTCATCGCCAATATGTAAAAATAAGAGGAGGAACCCCGCAATTTGTATCTTCTGTACTCTTGTTCGTCGGGATTTCAATCCGGTCGATTCGACCTTTGGGCTGACAGAAACCTCCGAACCTGCAATATGGCCCCGATGTTTATTAGGCTGGTAATAGCGGCTTTTATTTTTTGCCCTTAGGCTTGCGTACTTTAACCGTCTTCGGGTTTAGTCTCCAAGTCGGGATTCGACTCAAGCTCAATTTACCCTTGAGTTTTGTGTTTGCATGGGCTGGCAACAATGGCTATTACGCCTTGGGTCGGAGCGACCTTTTATGTATGTGGCCCTTAGGCATGCATAGTTAACTATTTTGGATCCGGTCTCTGAATTGGGTTACGACTTGAGCTCATTTTAATCCTCAAGTTTTCAATTTTCAAGCTGGCGATAGTGGCTCTTACGCTGTTTGGTCGTTGAGACCTTTTAATGTGCGGCCCGGAGGCTCGTTTGGCTGGCGACAATGGCTCTTACGTTTTTGCCCGTGGGCATTTTGTAGGCTTTGTTTCCCTCTCGTTAAGGTCTTTTCGAAATGATTTTGCCTGAACCGTCGTTGGTTCGGGAAGAACCTCGATTTCAAGTCGTTAACGGCGATGTTCGAGCACTTCGGAAGGTTCTTAGCTCGTAGGCTGAGTAGCTCGAAGCCTTGTGATTTGGAGCTAACATGGTCGAAACTCGTTTGCCTGTTGAGGGAAGCTTGTTTTAACCGGTTCTTTTCGAAGTATATTCGAAGTAATGGCCTGCGATTTTGTTAGCGACAATCGGGCGGCCGAGTCGCGTTAATTTGGCTGGTGTAGCCGTTTTGACCGTAGTCATATGTGTTTGGCCGGAGCCATTTTTGATCCCGAGTGATAGTTAGGCGTCTACACCGAGGGTATGCCCTTTCGGGATTCTTACAAATGCGACGTATAGCCTAAACTTCGGGATTGAGTTTTATGCCTGTAGTAAGGTCTTACAAAATTTTCAGGCCTGTTGAGGTCTTACAGTTTGTCATGCCTGTTGAGGTCTTACAGTTTGTCATGCTTGTTGAGGTCTTACAGTTTGTCATGCTATGTAGAATAGTTCTGGTTATGCCGGGTCTGCCCGCTCGGGGACTTACGGCCTCGGGTTTTCCAGTGTACGGCGATTGGCGACAGTCTCCGAGTCATCAAGTTTGCTTAGGCTCGAAGGCCGTTATTTGTGAGCTCGGAGTTACCTTGTTGGGGCTTATGAGCCCGGAGTTCCGACCCTGGGGTCGTGCGGGTGCCAAATAGTTTACGCTAAGTCTTCGAGTATTTCGGGATGCATTTGGTGGAGGGATCCCTGTCGAGAGTATGCTGAAATTTCCTCCCCTTTTTTTTTTGGAGTACGAGATGCTGAAAGATATTCTTTTATTGCTTGACGTAAATACATATCGTTTCATTGTTGTGAGCTAGGCCCGTGCGGGCGTGGCTCCTTGGACCGTTTGGTCCGGTACACGATTCCCTATTGAAACTCAGTCTGCCGTTCCCCGGCCCTTCCGAGTGGACGGCGCCTTCAAAAAGGGGGGGTGTCCTTCATCGTTTGATTACAGAAGAAGGCCTGTGATCTAGTCGGATCCTCCTTAGGGGGTACGTTGCTCCGCTAAGAACCTTGCTGGCGAGACCCTCTTCTGGGCGGAAGTCCGGCCGAGGGGAAAGAGCGCGGCAGGTTCTGTTAAGGCCTTGGGGTCTCTGGGTAGAGTTAGAACTTCCGAACGCCCTGGCCGGGTGTCTGCATATAGGTTAGTGAAAAATAACGAAGGGGGGAGGTAATTTTTCTTTACCGCGGGATGTGTAGGCGACGTTTCGGGGTTTGGTATGTTCCTACTGTTTCGGGGCGTGGACTCTAGTACGGCCCTCCGCTGTGCTTAATCAGGCTTGGCCGAAGATGTGGTTTGCTTACCCTTTGACTCTTTCGAGAGTGGAGATATTGGTGTCGGCGATGCGTCATGTGATGCGGAATTTCCCCTTGTCGCGTATTGCTTCCTGCCGACGGTTTTAGTTCCGTCCCTTGCGGGGAATTTCATCCTTTTGGCGAAGTGGGGGCGGCCCTGTCTTCGGGCGATGTGCCCGCGGTCGTTTGAATAAGGCGTCCGTGCCTTGCGCCTCCCTTGATGATACGAAACTCGGCGTTCCGGTCTGGGCCAGTCATGCTGTACTGAGAGAATGGTCTTTCTCCTTGTCGTAGCGATCGTCGTTCGGAATCTGTCAAAGATTCGAGAGGTGGTTGTGTTTTGACCCGGCGGCCCGACAGTGCTGATCGAGTCACATGCACTCATGTGCACATGTTTTATTTAAAACAGATTGAGTGAGGAAGAAGGTTACCAGTACATCATTGTGAGGTCGAGACGAGGCCTCAGTATCCTCTTTGTTGAATGTAAGGGTGTCCTTGGGGGTATATCCCCAGATCTGCCTTTCTCCGGTGACGAGAAATTTTGCTCTCCCTTTTACAAGTTCTTGGAAAGGGTCGTCGATCCTCCATTGTCGTGGCAATGCGCTGTGGCCCGTTTGCTTTGTTCTTCCTGGCCGCCTGCCATACTGGGGACTAAACTTGTATTCGGTCGCTCGTCAGTTCTCGGCGGTGATTTTTGTCGAGCGGCTTGGCGTCTTTCCTTCGGAGCTGGTGGCTATCTTCGGCCCCGCGGCCGCACTTGCTATGTAGTTCCCGCGTCAGGCTGTGATCCCTATGAGAGGAATTCGACCAAATTGGTCCGAGCCATTCGACGTCCCTGATTTCGCCTACAGCGAACACGATATTTGGTACAGCGATGTGGAAATTGTACTCTGATGGGCGAGGCGCCCTTGTCGGCCATGCGTCCTCGTCGAATCTGGCTTTGTTAACGATTCCTCGAGGATATTTTCCTCGGACCATTCTCCGATCGTTGCAAGGTAGATTGCATCTCGGGGCGTTCCAGTCTGCGGCACGCGGGTGGTACCTCCCTCTGTTTGGCATTGGTTTCTTTGCCAGGAGTCTGTTTGGGTAAGCTGAGCCCGAGGAGGCTCCCGGATGGTCATCCACGACCCTAATTTGCGACTGATGCCGGGTACGGGCATCCGACCAGGTCTTGGCTGGGTACCTGATCAAGTTTTGTTTAAACTGCCCCGAAATCGCCGGGCCTGGTTTGTTTAGGCTTTGAGTGAAAGCCTGTATTGCCCAGTTATCCGAAACCGGGGACAATCTCGTTCGTTCCATCAGGGAGTGAGGTGCGAATTCCCTTGGCGTCTCATTCCCCCTTTGTTCGACCCTGGATCTGTCGGGCTCCCTCGTCGTTGCTTCGATGGCATCGGCGTGTGTCTTTATGAAGGAGCCAGCCGGTATGGTAAGCGAGTTTATGGGGTCGGGTGCTAGGTTATGATGTCACATCATGGTTCCTTTCGAGAGTGTTTCCCCGAACCTCTTCAACAAGACGGGCTCAATCTCATCATCTTTTGGGTCGTTGCCTTTTCCCGCGCACATATAGGCGGTGATGTGTTCGTTGGGATCTGAGGTCCCGTTGTACTTAGGGAGTTCTGTACTTCTTTGAAATGGGTTCCGGGGCCGCTTTCTCGGGGAACGGCCGTTGCACGAATTTCCACGAACCTGATTCGATCCTTTCGGAGAGATCCCCAAGCATCTTTGCTATGGCAAGGCCGGCTACCGATCCGTTATTGCTTGATCCCTCGGGTACTTGCTCGGTGGGGGGAGCTGCTTCCGGCGCTGCTGTGTTGGGAGTCTTCGGATGGCATTGTAACCAAGCAATGGCCAACTGTTGTGCCTGCAACATTTCAAAAATAACATGAAGACTAACTTCCTGTGCTTCCCGAGCCGGAGTTTTTTGGGCTTCCTGTTGGTCGCCATGTTGTATGCTTCCGTCGGTGCGCGAAGTTTCGTCGGCCCGCTGCGTGTCTCGCGAAACCACATCCGCTAGAATCGGTCCAGGTGCGTTATCGGGGTTCCGCGGCGGTGCGCCAACGACTGGAACAACCATACCATTTTCTCCGTGATTTTCGAGGTAGTCGTTCTTAACCTCGTTTACCGAGCCAGAAGTTTCGACCTGAAATCAAGAGATCTTGGACAAGAAAAAGTGTGAAAGATAACTTGCGTTTGTGTAATGAAACTAGCAAGAAAATAATCACTATTATTTTTAGCCCCACGGTGGGCGCCAAACTGTTTACCGTGAAAATGGTAACAACAATTAAATTTGTAAATGTGACTAAAAATATGTGATCTATTTTTATGCTAGTTGTTAGAGGAGTAGATGCGAAGAGTATGAGGTTTAACGAAGAAATACGAGCTAAAGCGGGGCAGTAATCAAACCGAGAGGCTTGCAGCCCGAGCCTCAGACTGGTCGATGAAGGACCTCGAGGTCGATATCTGGCTCGAGCTATCGGGGTAGTCGGGAATGGGATAACAGTTGAGATATGATCAAGCAAGGCTCTTTATGGCCAATACCAAACAATAAATGAAGAACAAGTATAAAAGCTATAAACGTTAAGAGTGGCCTCGAGCTAATAAGAACGAGCAGGTTAGAGAGAAGAGAGAGATATTATTGATCTTGTGGAGAATAGTTGGAGCAACATCAGCCCCTTACAAAGTGGCATGGATTCTCTTTATATAGGAGAGAGAATACGATATAGTACAGAGTGCATTAAATGTAAAGATACGGGGATGGGACGGCTAGGCACGATGCTAGACCCTGCTGATGTTGGCTGCTTGCCTCGGGAATTCCCCATCCTCGGAACCTTTGTTGGGTCGCGGGCGAACCTCGGGGGAGGGAGCTCGATCGTAGTCCTGCAGCCTCGAGATACTGATATGACCCCCCAAATGCATCTTAATGGTGGGAAATAGACTCCTCCGATTTCACCGTATATACATTATTAAGTTAATGCAGAGTTTAGTGCTTTGCATTTATGATAGCTTGGAGCAGGGAATGAGCTAAAAAGAAGCTGAGCAAAGAAGTGGATGGTGACAAAAGACAGATTTTGGCTCTCAGCTGGGAGTTTATTGCCTATAAAACTAGATTGATGCTGTTTGCTCAAAATTCTAAGATAAGAAATGGTTCTAAGTTGTCTACTTCTTGAGTTATGACTCTACTTG